CAATATAATCTACATTGATAATAATAATAATATACTTGAATATAATCTTCGTCAGACACACTTTTATTATTATTTGATTAGAAGTTATACAACTTGAAACTACTTTAATTAAGGCAGCTCAAATAAAAAATAAATGTTTTGGATATTTGTATAAACAAATGTTTGTCAAACTCGTGTTAATAAAGATGGGTTGGGTTTGGGACTCATCTAGATGAAATAAAATAGAAACAAGTTTTATTAAATGTTAAGAAAATCACAAGTTCTAACAGATTCTATGGAATTCAGTACGAGATAATCCACACACTTCACTTGACACCAGCTATTCACATTTTAATCCAACTCTATTCTCTGTCAAAAATGTAAAACCTGTTTAGGGACAAACAATCACTTACGTTTCTGTCCACATTTGACTATTTGCAGCTTGTCTCACTGTTTTACAAATGTGGCTGGGCAAAGAGTCTCCTGATCTTCATGTGGTGAGACAAAATCATGTCCTTCATGCCCTAGAGAGACTTTTACAGTGTGTGTCCTGAAAACATCTGTAGGGTCCTTTGTGAAAAACTGGACACCACTCGCTTCTCCTTTTGAAAACAAAGGCAGTAAAATCATCTGTATTGGATCTTTCTGTTGAAGATTGGACAGGATTCATGAAATTACCACAATAATGAACTGAATGGATTTGTGACAAAGTGGATCTTTGTTCCATTTAACACTGGGGGAGGTACTTTCTGCTGGGGCTATAAAAGAAAGCAGGAGTTGTCACTTAGGGACAGACTTCTGTGCAGACGGGTCATGTTGATGTTGTGTTGATTTATTTAGAATTATTTATTTTCTGTTTATTTATTTGAACAGTTTATTTGTACTTAATTTTATGATACACTGGAAGTCTGTTTTAAAATGACTTTTTTTCTGGTCAAAGAACTTTTTTGTTGAAGTTTACCTCCTACTTCAATCACGTCGGCACAACTTCCTCACAGGATCAATAAACTGTGATGTGTAGTATAATAATACTATTCAATAATGAACTACATGGACTCTGCAGAAAATATCACAGTAGAAAACTCTGACATATATAAACTCATGTGGTCAGTGGACAAACTCAGTGGTCTCCTGGAGTCTTGTGCTGGTTCGGGTGTGGACGGGGATGATTCTGAGGTCCTTTGGCTGTGGATGGTTCTATCTGTGTAATTATTCTACAGCATTGATGAACATTGGGATGGGTGCACATTTTTGATGCAGGTTTTGGTATCGATGGTCACTTGGGTATCAGTTTACCGACAGCTCTACAGATGTCCAATATATGCACACAGACACGTGTGTCAGTCTGTACTCATTTGTTTATATTTGTGGCAGTGTTTGTGTTGTTAATTTTGTGTTGTCTGATTGTTTTAAAATTATTATTATTATTATTATTATTATTATTATTATTATTATTATTATTATTATTATTATTATTATTATTATTATTATTATTATCTGTCTTGTATTTGTCACTATATGGTGTTTTAAAATTTCACAAAATGAATAATAAGACCCAGTGATTCAAAGATCTCGTATAAATGTGGCCTTAGGCTGATGCCCACAGACACAGTAAAGGGACAATGGAACGTTCAAATAAAATGTGCAGTTCCCCTGGATCACCACAAGGGTGCAGGCTCTCTCATTTGCTGTTTTCTATACTGTCATATGAACACTTTTAAAGATAGTTTTATTTTATTGAATATGCTGATGACACTGTGATGGTGAACCTTCTTCAGGGCAGTTTGTCCAGTGATGTGAAGAGTCCAGCCTGAAGCTCCATACATCAAAAACCAAAGACATGGACACACCAGAAGCACGTCGTCCTGCAGTGTGGAGCTGGTGCAAAGCTGCAAAGATCTGAGCACTGCGACTGACAGCTCACTCAGCTTTGAAGAAAACACTGAAGCTGTGTGCCAAAAAGGGCACAACTTCTTTTCAGTGTTCAGAAGTGATCTCATTTTAACAAAGACTCCACAATGCTCACACGCTGATATAGATGTTTTTTTCAGTTTGGTCTCACTGATGCCATGGTTTGGCTCTGGCACTGAGAGACTGGAAC